GATGACAAGCTGACCATGAGCCAGCAATGTGCCCTTGTTGCCAAGAAGGCCAATGGTATCCTGGGGTGTATTAAGAGGAGTGTGGCCAGCAGGTCGAGGGAGGTTATCCTCCCCCTCTACTCTGCCCTGATGAGACCCCACCTGGAGTACTGTGTCCAGTTCTGGGCTCCCCAGTTCAAGAAAGATGAGGAACTCCTAGAAAGAGTCCAGAGGAGGGCAACTAGGATGATAAAGGGACTGGAGCACCTCCCCTACGAGGAAAGCCTGAGAGAGTTGGGCTTGTTCAGCCTGAAGAAGAGAAGACTGAGAGGGGACCTTATCAACACATACAAATATCTTAAGGGCGGAAGTCATGAGGATGGAAGCAGTCTGTTTGCAGTGGTGTCCTGCGACAGGACTAGGGGCAATGGGTGCAAACTGAAACACGAGAGGTTTCAGTTGAATATGAGGAAAAACTTCTTTACTTCAAGGGTGACAGAGCACTGGAACAGGCTGCCCATGGAGGTTGTGGAGTCTCCTTCTCTGGAGATATTCAAGGCCCGCCTGGATGAAGTCCTGTGTAGAATGCTCTAGGAGAACCTGCTTTAGCAGGGGGGTTGGACTAGATGATATCCCGAGGTCCCTTCCAACCCTTGCCATTCTGTGATTCTGTGACATGAAACAAACCAAAGCCAAGCCAAACACACCAAAGGGCTACAGCTGCAGCAGAAAAATCCCCAAATCATCCAGTAAAGACACCTGGAGCACATGCACCAATAGTTTTGGTACAGACAACTTACACGCAAGAACTGTCAAGGCCTTCTACAGCTCCTATTCTAGAGCCATATCTAAATTAAATTTGGACACTGAAGTTGTTCCATCACTGGGGTTATTCCAAATTACAAACCGAAAAACCTATTTATGCATTGGCTGGAACTCTCCTGCCCCCCAACCAAAACAAAAACCCTAAAAACAAAAATCCAAGGGTTCTCAGTTCCCAGGATTTATAAGAAGAAACCCAATCATTTTGTTAAACTAAACCCAAGGTTACTTCACATTTCCATTTCTCAAAAACAGCTGATGATCCTGAGTAAGGCAGGTATTTACAACTCTCTCTTTATGAGACATAAGACCAGTTGCTCGTTAGTGTCTGTTTAAGTTGGACAGGAGGGGGCAAAGATTGCTGGGGGAGGGGAAAAAACTGAATATTCACATGAACATGCAAGAAACAGAGTATTGATATAATATCTCTTCCCACTATTAAAAACTCCAGTGAACGGCATACAAGGTTGAAAAAAGAATTATTTCAGATAGACAGAGTTGATGCTGAACATGGCTATTTTGAAACCAAATAGTTAAAAAAAACATTCCTGTGTATCAATTTTACAGATATTGAATACAATCCTGAGATGTGATGCACATCTAACCTCCTACTGACTCCTGTAACTTCCTGCTACAGGTAAAACTCACTGCAGATGGATGGCAAAAATGGAAGATTTCAAAGATTCATTTGTAAGGATGAGTGCAGCAAACATGCAACACCCCCTTCACCCTGCTTCACACCAGCCACACTCCACACTTGTCAGTTTTCTACACCAGGCAGAAGTTCATTATCCAAATACAGTTCAGAAAATGACATCTCAGGTTGGCATTTGCTTATGAAAGAATTTACATTGGAGATTCAAGACTTACCATGGTGTACAGTTACTAGGTGCAGCATTAGTGTAGGACTTGATATCATGTCTGTACCTCCCTGAAGTCCTTCTGCAGGTGTTTGGGCTGCTTATTTAGGCCAAGCCTCAGTATGCCTGCATTGGCATGCAATGCAAGACACGGCTGAATCAACATTACAGCTGAATCCGAAAAGGTGATTGAAAACTGAACTCTAGAGAGCTACCCAGCCTCACAAGAACTCCTATTATACATCAAAAAGTGTCCACTTGAAGAATTCACCTTCAGTATCCAAGTAGATGGAGATGCACATAGTCCACACTGTCATTTATCTTCAGCACCTTGCATCACTTTGGTGTAGCCAGGTGCCTTCCTTTTAGGCACTAAGCAGTCATTTTAGCATGCTAAAATAAGCACCTTCAGTCTAATCCTCAGACTCAATCTATGTCAGCTCCTCATTAGGAAAATAAAAATAATCACATATTCACATATCCTTTAAATGTCACAAGACAACCTGCATTAGAGATTGTGAGGCACTCATATACAATGCAAACCAGACAAGAAGGTGTTCTTATTGTTGTGATACATTCTTATCAATGGACACAGTTAGGCATATGCATAGTTCATTACCTGATAGTTCATAGAAGATACAAGACTTGGCACAGCTACAGAATGTGAAAGTTACTGATAAAAATGAGTATTGCCCCTTGCAGTATGTGCACTGCAAGATTAGGTAACATATTTCAAATTGGCAAGATGCTAAGAAAAAAAATCAAAACCTAAACCATTTAACAGAACACAGAAAAAGCATATAACTAATTTATTTATGAAGCAAGTCATTGTGTTGCATTTCTTATCTGAATAAATAACAAGATGTTCTTTATTCTCCCACATCATTAATTCATTTTGTCAAACCGAAGAACTTATCTGCTGTTTTGGAAAGGTCCGTTTGTATTACTCAAAAAGTTCATTGGACTATACCTCTTTGCCATGTTCTAGATTGGGGATTCAGTTAGATGTCCTAGAGACTGATGATACATTGCTGTCTTTGAACCTAGTAAAGAATTAACCCCTGAAACTTAAACAAAATTTAAAATCCTAAAGAATACAACCTCAAGTTTCACTCTATCCAATTATCTTTAAAAGTATTCAAAAATACTCAAACGAAATTATTATTATTACAGTATTTTCTCATATTCTTTATATTTCTCTAGATCACACTTCCATCACCAGAATCCCCTAATACTACAACAGACCATTAGAATTCCTTCTGGAAAAGGAGGAAAACAATTCTGCATGTAGAAAAAAACAGGTAAGCAGTACCTTTGTTGCCACCTGTTCTCACAGCCATCCTTATTTGGCATTATTTTCATGTGGCAAACAGTAAGTTCACAACAAAGAAATGTCAAGACCTACTGGACTATGTAATGAGATTGCAAAAATACCTAAAAATATTTTTTTCTCAAGTTAATTCCCAGGGAAAGCACCACCGGATTAAGTATATTCTAGCAAAATAAATCTCACCTTTGGCCCATGAGATGATTTCTTCTTCACTTCAGAAAAAGACAGGGAGTTGCTGGGAAGGTTGGGGAGATGAAGGCTCTGTCCTGAAGAGAACGATGTGCCATCTGACATTACCATGATCTGTTATAAGAGGAAAAGCATGTCAGTCAAGCACTACCAACAGGGACAGAAAGTCTCACCTGCCTAAGCAAATCACATTGGTAGGAGAATGAAACTTCTCCAACAAAGAGTATCCATGTTTCTTCTCAATAGGGGATGGGTTAATGAAACCACACTGCCATCCTCTATTTAATGAGAAAATCACATCTTTCCATAGCCATGGGAATACAACACAAGCCCTTCAGAAAATAGCATAATATGTTCTATTATGGCCGCTTACATGCCACAGCTCCCAAGTCCTTAGCACTCTTTCTCTTCTCCTGAGCAATGTCTACTACACTTGAAAAGTTCACCCCACTTGCAGTAAAAGGTTTTGCAGGCTTCTGACATCCCATAAATACGTACGTGCAGTAGTCTTTGCTTTCAACTAGAGCAATGTGATGGAAGACTCTAACAGGTATAGGTGGAAAGGTCTGGGTGGCGGGGGTGGCCTCTGTGAGGAGAGGCCAGGGACTCCCCCATGCCAGACACAGTTGGAGGCAGCCAGCTCCAACAGACCCAGCACAGGGCATGCCTGAGCCCCTCTGGCAAGATGGTGGCACCTTGGGGTAAGCGGGTTTAAGAAAGGGGAAAACACTCTACAGCAGAGGGGGTGAAAAAAAAAAAAAAAAAAAAAGCATGAGAAACTGCAGCATGAACACCAAGGTGAAAGAAGGAAGGGAAGAGGTGCTCCAGGTGCTGGAAATGGTTATTTCCCTACCGCCTGTGGAGAGCCCATGCTGGAGCCCCTCTTGAAGGACTGCAGCCCACAGAGAGGCCCCATGCTGGAGCAAGGGGAAAGCATGAGGAGGGAGGAACAGCAGAGAGAAGATGTTACGGATTGACTGCAAACCCTGTTCCCAATCCCCCTGTGCCGCTCAGGGAGGTGGAGAAAGTAATACAAGTCCTGAATGAAGGAGTGAAGTTGAACATGGGAAGGTGGTGTCAGGGGGTGGTGGTGTTTTCTTTTTTTTTTCTCATTACCCAAATCTATTTTAACTTGCAACAAATTAATTTGCAATAGATTAAATCCATTTTCCCCAAGTCGAGTCCCTGTCTTTATCTTGGCCCATGAGCTTTCTCATCCTATCTTCTCCCCACTGCCCTGTAGAGGAGGCAGAGTGAGAGACCAAGCAACTAGGCTCAGCCCTTAGCCAAGGCCAACCCACGACAACAAACTGTAAAAACAGCTTGAGGTTTTAATGTGAAAGCAGTACAGCTCTAACCTCAACTTCTAACTTTAAGCTTCTTCTTTAACTGGAGTACAGTAAACTGGATGGCTGGTGAGGAAGCAGCATTTTTGCTGTAACAAGCATTTTTGCTCCCTTTCTTGATTTTGAAGACTCGTAAGCATAAACAGATCATTTACAGAGACCACAGATAAATCAGCTGTCACAGAGCAGTTACCAGACGTGTAAAGAATCGTACCTTTCATCTGAGAGAAACGCAGCTAGCTCCTGTATTCTGCTTCACTGCTGCTGTGCCTGGATTTTACTGCTTCCTAGCACAGCTATTCATTTATCTATTGTTTCAAAACCCTAAATGCCAGAGACAGCTTACCTGCTGTCTGACAAGCCCCGCAAAACTGGAGAGAAGCTGCAGAGCTCTGCACCTGCAAGGAAGCATCTCTCTCTTTTGACAGGTTCCCGTTCATGAAGTTACACTCAGTTTTGTGGATGCTCTGTGTGGTCACCCTTGCCTCTTCATACGACCAAAATGTCCTCTGATATTGGTGATGGGGAGAGACCAATCCATCACATGCCTCATGTACATTACATTAAAGGAGGAGCGGGAAGTGCAAAATTTGGACTTCCAGGATGTAGATACATATATTCCACATTTTAACTCTCCAGGTCAAGATGATATTTACTGCCTACAGCTTCTTCAAGACAGGATTTCAATTTAAAAAAAAAAAATATTTAAACACTGCTCTAAATGAATCTAGTTGCAGACAACTTTGTTAAAAAGATCATGTGGTAGCCTGGAGAACGTTAAGGGACATGTCTAGGTAATAAAAATTACTTTTATTGGCCTGTAAGTTCAGCATTACCTTTCAACACCGCTGCTAGAATCCAAAGGTGGAAGAAGGAAGAAGGCAATCAAGTTGTCCTCCTTCCTCGCCTGTAGGCTCATGTATTTAAAAAACAAAAAAAATCCTTATAAGTTATGTATTCAAACATTTTGTGAAGTGAGATTCCACACAGGGCGTGTAACATTTTCTCCCCAATTCCTCATTTCCATTTCTCAGACACCTAAGCCAGAGCCTACCAGGAGCCAGAACTCTCAAAAGTCAGCTAGGCAAAAGCAATGTCATCCTTCTTGTAATCATGGTAATATCAATAGCAATTAGCTATTGTGAATCACAATAAGTAACTTCGTTTAGCCTGACAAATACTTTTTATCCTCAACTTGCCAAAGGTTTTGGTTGAATTGAGCCCAGCTGAATGCAACAGAAGGCACAAGCTAACAAAGAATGATCAGCAACAAGGACGAGGAAAACCAGTAGCCAGACATGCCTACCGTAAACCTGTGCATCAGATAGAGAAAATGCATGTCTATCAACCATTATTTCTTCTCGTAGCCATAAGTCAAATGGGTGGTTAAATAAGACTGTTCTCCTTTAAACTCAATGCAGTGTTTTAAACCCACAAACTTCAGAGAAAATACCAATTGCATTAAAATCAAATCATCTTTCAGAAAAAGTAGACATAAGGTTGCGCATTAATTGCAGAGTTTAAGCAGGTATTTTATTAACACAAATTAGTTTTGTTCATACGCTTATATGACAGAAAGATGCATATCCACATGGAAAAGAAATATAGTCAGAAGAATCAGGGTTTGTGCTACCTTGAAATTAAAAGCAAAGAAATAAAAAATTCTGCCAATGATTCTTTCTCCTAGGGTTGGAAGCTGCATTTTCTCCCTGAAGCATAGAAGTCTGACTCACTAAAACAAACTGAGGTTCAACCACTGCATAAATTTTCCTTTTAAAATTCAGAATAACTCCAGTTTAGAAATATTTATATGTTAATCACTATACACACACATTCTTAAAAAGCTGACATTTTTAAAAAGTGTATGGACTTTGGAGATATGTCAGTTTCTGGGCAAGAATTTGGACCATTAATAGTCTCAATACTAGACTGTGTTTAGAAATAGGATGACTGCCTATAGAAAGATCTACAGGGCTGGGATGAATGGTATTAGTACCATGTGAGGTCTGGCAGATTTGGCAAATCTAGTGCCACACAGAGAAAATAAATCCCATACAGTTTTTAGAAGACAAAATCTGGACATTCCACATTAAGAGCCCTAAAAATTTCAGCATATTGAATCCTGCAGCCTGTTATTTTGTTATAAAACCTACAAAAAATGGCAATTATAAATCAAAAATTCTAATAAGATCAACAATATATGCAGTAAGACAGAACTTCAGTTCAGACTACAGACATTACCATCTATCTGTAAAGATTACAAAAGACCAAGAAAATCTCATGTGAAATTAAGGTTTTGGCCTTATGATAAAAAAACACACCTCTGTCTTCCAAACTGACTGTCAGAAAAAGGATATGGTCCTCATTAAAGTCTCCTATATCAGAAAAAAAAACACCCAAACACACACTTGCCTTCTCCTCCCTCTCAAAGAATAAAATTAATATTAAGTAACTTTCTTGGAATTCTTCTAAATTGTCTGTTTTCTTTGCCAAGATTACCTATGTAAAAAGCCCCTACATTACAAACACTCTGAATTCACCAGTATGTAAAACATGACATTCCAGTTATAGTTTTGCTGTTCCCTCAAAAATTTAGCCTGACCATATCTAAGCAGAGCAGAGGTCTAGCTAAACTCACAGCCTGTCTTTGATGTGGTCAATGGTGACAGAAACAGGCCATGTAAAAGCAGGGAGTTTGACATGCTTGTTCACAAATGTTAAAAGGTTTTAAAGAACGATTGAGTGGACTGGAGTACCTGGTTCTGGATAAGCATTAGAAACATGGCCAAAATAAAACAGTTAGTTTCACAGTTTAATACCAGGGTAAAAATTATATGGGAATTACAGAATAGGTTGTCCTAAAAAACCTGTCAAGGGAGGTGACTGTCCCGCTCTGCACTGCACAGGTGCAGCCCCACCTCAAGCACTCTGTGCAGTTGTGGGTGCCTCAATTCCAGAAGGACATTGGACTACCACAGTGTGTGTAGAGGAGGGCGACCACAATGGCCAAGGAAGACCTCAGGGGAAAGACTTATGAGGAGCTGCTGAGGTCACTTGGTTTGTTCAGCTCGGAGAAGAGAAGGCTGAGGGGTGACCTCATTGCAGCCTAAAACTTCCTCATGGGGGGCAGAAGAGTGGAGATGCTGATCTCCTTTCTGGTGACCAGCTATAGGACATGATGAAACAGAATGAAGCTGCACCAGGCAAAGTTCAGACTGGACATTGGGAAAAGGCTCTTCACTGAGAGGCTGGTCAGTCACTGGAACATGGTCCCCAGGGAAGTGGTCACAGCACCAAGTCTATCAGATTTCAAGGAGCGTCTGGATGATGCTTTTAGTCATGTGGTTTAGTTTTAGGTAGTCCTGCAAGAAGCAGGGATTTTGACTCTATGATCCTCATGGGTCCCTTCCAACTTGAGACACGCTGTGATTCTATGTATCCATGTTAGGGGTTTTTTTTTGTTTGTTTTGTTTAAAATTCAATTTAAAAAACCAAGTATTTTAACTTTTACCTGTTGGCAGGAACTTCAGAACCCTCATGAACAGAAATTCTTTGCACCCATGGGAAGCAGCTAATATTACATGATGCGAAAGACAACAAGAAATGCTTCTAAAAACAGGCCTTAAAAGCAAGACTAAAAAAGTGTGGGCTCACTGCTCAGTGGGGCAAGAGACCTCATGACAAAGAACTTGGCTTATGTACTCCATGTTCTCTGTTTTCAGTAGTAAGATCTTGTTTCCTCAGGTCTTCAAGGAAGTACCTGAGTAT